GTAAGCTTCCAATTTTTTCTTTTTTATTGAAAAATACAATTGAAGTAATTTGAGACACTAGTAAAGTATCTATGGTTACTATCTGCCTGTTTTTCAATAAATAAGTTAGTAGAGAGATCTACCTCAAATAAATTGAAGATTAAGGTTTTACAGGCACTAGTTATCTTGATTGTGGAGGTTGTGCTTGTGCACTAATGGTTGCATATGCACAAATAATTAGTATTATTCAGGAGAATTCTCTTTATATTCAGTTGTCTTAAATACAAAAGCGTGCTGATGAAGTGTGATAGCAATTTGCAATTTATTGCAACAAGTTGAGGCAATTATGCAATGTGGAAAACTATAGATAACAGCATAAAACTTAAAAACTTCTTGAAGTTAAAAAAATGCTTGTAAACCAAATGAAATTTCATTTATAAAGTTTGGCACAGCGCATTAGTGTCATTTGTTTTAATTTGATATTCACAAACTATTTCTAGTAACAGTAGTTGAGCATTTATACTGTTATATTGGATAGAAAAAAATTCATTTATTGAAGGTTTAAACAGGCTCGTAGGAACATATAAAAATAAAGGAATGTAGATACTTTCATGTGTGATAATATACCTTGTACTGTGTGTAGTATTCTAAGTGGCCATCACATGCAATTTTAGGTTCCAGAGTAACTAGGTAGTTGGGGGGAAAAAGCAGTATTTATTTTAACCTTAAATGTAAATCATTCATAAATTGTCTTGGACTAGAAAAATGTTAAGAAATTATCAGGGACAGTATTTTTAATATCAATTACTGAGATTACCTTAGTAACATACATAAAAAAAATTTGTGTCTGTTATTTTAGTACAGAGTATATGGAAGTTTTGTGCTACTAGGAGTTATGTGGCTATAATACTGTATGAACTGATGTAGTATAAAAAAAAAATTGAAGAGGCTTTTGATTGTCTCTTATCAGAAAAAAATTTAGTTCCTAATTGTCAAGATAGAAAAAATTACCTGCTGATTTTGTTGATGATTTTAATTTTTTCAAGGACAATATTATAATCACGTGAAAACAAGATTTCCATAAAAAATGGTTGTTTTAGTAGATTTTGAATAACTTTACTTCCCTGTTTCTTGTTTTCAGTTATCAAATTACTAAACACATGATACTGTGAAATAATTACTTATGGCTTTAATATTTCTATTGATCTCCTTCAACAGGATAAGTCTTGGTGACAGCAGTACCAGTGCTCTCCACCTCCTAGCTAACATATGATTATTATTTCCTATCTGATATCTCGTGATTTGTACATTTTTGTAAAGTTCTGGCCTGAATATGAAGAATTTAAGCAGTCAGAAAACACCCGGCAAAACACACAAACACACTTAAAAACAGGAAACAGCTCCACTATATAAAAAATGGCAACAGTCAGGTAGCATTAAACAATAGGCCAGTGTCAGTGACATGTCTATATTAGTATGTAAGGTTATAGAGGAGATTATTATGAGAATAATGGAGCACTTGCAAAGGAACAGATTCATAAACTACAACCAGAACAATTTTAAGAGATGATAAATCTTGTCTCGCAAATCTGCTAGTTCTATGGCAAGGTAATGAAAGTTAGTCAGGAGAAAGAGGGATGGCTGGACTGTGTATTATTGGACTGAGAAAGCATTTGATATGGTAATCACAAGAGACAAAAACTAGAGGAGGAGTCAGTAATAGCAAGGGATGTACCACAGTGAATCGAAGAATACTTAACAGAAAGTAAGCAGTGAGTTATTGTCAGGGAAGAGGTGTCGGAATGGATGAGTGTGACTTGTGGCATTTCACAAGTGTGTGTACTTGGACCAGTGCTGTTTCTTATGTAAGTGAATTAACAGATGATGGGAGACTAATGAGAATACAATCCAGAGCAGGTCAGGAAAGATAACATGGATATGGAGAAGTTGTAGGATTGATCTGACAGGTGTTATAATTTAATCAGTAATTGCAAAGTAATGAAAATTGGGAAAGGACAAAGATGACCAAAAACTGGGAGAAATGTAAGGTGAGCATAGAGCCAAGCATTGTTTGGAGCAATTCACCTGAGGCACAAAAAAAATAATAAAGGGCACAATAAATGTGAGACTGGCAAATTTAAAGTGAGCCTTGAGGAACCTCAACAAGGCAGCATTGATGACCTTATACACAGCAGTGCAGTATGCAGTGCCAGTGTTAAACCCACACATGATAAAGCATGTGAATAAGCTGGAAAAACTGCAAGGGTTTGCAACAAGATGAGTCCCAGAGTTGAGGTGTCTGAGCTATGAGGAGAGACTAGAAGAGCTCAACCTGATGACATTAGAGAATAGAAGGACTAGGAGTGCCATGATTATGACATACAAAGTATCAAGAGGAACTAACTTGATAGACAGAGCAGATCGTGAATACATGAGGGTAAAGTGGAAGTAAAAAAAAAAAAAAAGTCACAGGGATATTAGGTAACACTTCTTTTGCCTTCGAGTTATCAGGAAGTGGAATGACCTAGACAGCAAAGTGGAAGAAGCAGGATCCATACATTGTTTTAAGAATAGACATGATAGGGCTCAAGCACCCAGGAGAGAACAAAGCAAGTAGCAGTTGGTAGAGTGACTAGGCCAGGAGATGAGACTCAATCCCTGCAACTGCAAATAGGCGAGTGTGGACATGCACACACACTTATATATGAGCAATCACATATGGGTGAATAGTACACACACATTCACAGTCATGCACACATACAGGTGCTCCTTGACTTATGATGGTTTGGCTTACAATGGCTTGACTTACAACGGTTCGATTTCACGATGGTACAAAAGCAATTACTTTGGAGATGAAACATAAGATAACTACGCAGCTTGAAGACAGCAAATCCTTAACTTGTGTACATTTTTTTTTTTTTACCTTTTCATTGCTGGTGTTTAGTTATTTTTTTTTTATTATTTTATTAACACATCTGCTGTTTCCCACCAAGGCAGGGTGGCCCAAAAAAGAAAAACTTTCACCATCATTCACTTCATCATTGTCTTGCCAGAGGCGTGCTTACACTACAGTTCAAAAACTACAACATTAACACCCCTCCTTCAGAGTGCAGGCACCGTACTTCCCATCTCCAGGACTCAAGTCTGGCCTGCAGGTTTCCCTGACTCCCTTCATAAATGTTACCTTGCTTACACTCCAACAGCACGTTATGTTCTAAAAACCATTTGTCTCCATTCACTCCTATCTGACAAACTCACGCATGCTTGCTGGAAGTTCAAGCCTCTCGCACACAAAACCTTCTCTATCCCCTTCCTCCAACCTTTCCTAGGCCGAACTCTACCCCGCCTTCCCTCCTCTACATATTTATACACTCTCGAAGTCATTCTATTTGGTTCCAACCTCTCTCCATATCTGAACCACCTCAACAACCCCTCTTCAGTCCTCTGGATAATAATAATATTATCTAGTAATAATAATAGTAATAATTTGTTTATTTGCCTATTCAGTGACAGTAGTTATTTTTTTATTTATTTAGCATATATTTATTTTTGACTTAGGATATTTTCGACTTGTGATGGGTTCGTTGGGACATAACCCCGTCGTAAACCGAGGAGCACCTCTACATTTATATATGTACATAAACATGTGTTAACCCTTTCAGGGTCGGCAGGCCCTCTCCTAAAATTGTTCTCAGGGTCGGAAATTTTTTGAAAAAAAAAAAAAAAAAATTATTTTTCTTATGAAATGACAGAGAATCTTTTCCTGATCATGACACCAAAAGTATGAAATTTTATGGAAAACTTCTGGAATTATACTCTCGTGAAGTTAGCGGTCTCAACGATGTTTACGCATCTGCGATTTCACCCACTTTGAGCCCTATTTTCGGCGAATTCCAATGTACAAATCGACAAAAACATAACTATTTCGCTAGAACTCCATTTTTTCTATCGAATGAGTACAAGAAACCACCCATTTACCAATTTCAGCTATCCAATAAAGTGGTACCTGGATACCTGGATGTTACCTGCGGCCCGGTCCATGACCAGGCCTCCCGATGGATCAGGGCCTGATCAACTAGGCTGTTACTGCTGGCTGCACCCAGTCCAACGTACGAGCCACAGCCCGGCAATTTTGCCAATTTCACACAAATTTCAAAAGATGCCAGTTTCCAAATAGGGTCAAGAATAAACAAAACAGACATTCCTGGCACTAAAATATCATTTTTTCTGTTCATTAGTCATGTCCCCAGGCCTCTCTTACTTTCTTTTGCTTTCCACTTTGAATTTTTATTCTCACAAAAAAATAGAAGGTTTCAGGTACATCTTGCTACTTCTACTTACACTTAGGTCACACTACACATACATATACATGTACAAGCATATATATATATACACACCCCTCTGGGTTTTCTTCTATTTTCTTACTAGTTCTTGTTCTTGTTTATTTCCTTGTTTATTTTCTCCATGGGGAAGTGGAACAGAATTCTTCCTCCGTAAGCCATGCGTGTTGTAAGAGGCGATTAAAATGCCGGGAGCAAGGGGCTAGTAACCCCTTCTCCCGTATAAATTACTAGATTTAAAAAGAGAAAGTTTCGTTTTTCTTTTTGGGCCACCCTGTCTTGGTGGGATACGGCCGGTTTGTTAAAAAAAAAAAAAATTATATATATATATATATATATATATATATATATATATATTTATATATATATATATATATTATATATATATATATATATATATATTTTATATATATATATACAGTGGACCCCCGCATAACGATTACCTCCGAATGTGACCAATTATGTAAGTGTATTTATGTAAGTGCGTTTGTACGTGTATGTTTGGGGGTCTGAAATGGACTAATCTACTTCACAATATTTCTTTTGGGAACAAATTCGGTCCCGTACTGGCACCTGAAACAACTTCTGGAGTGAAAAAAAAATCGTTAACCGGGGGTCCCCTGTATATATATATGTATATATACATATCATATATATATCTAAATAATATATACTTTCTAC